AAGTTAGGTTTAACCCTACCACTCCTCTGAAGGGTCATTATATTCATGGCCTCACATGTAAACCTCATCTCTGAGAAGATGCCAACACCAGCAGTGGAGGGTCTAACAATGAGTCTGGCCTCAGCCTCTGTCTGCCCATAAGGGCTGTGCGAAATTTCACTGGCCATTTTGTTTTGACACTGCTTCAATCAATTTCGAGGTTGAAACAGCAAAATTGGAAGGAAACAAAGGCTGTTGAAATAGCCTCGAAACAAAACAAGGCTGGTCGCAACGTTTCAAAAGTCGAAACATTTTGACCATAGGCTGGGGATGGGAAGTCTGTCCCCAGTGCAAGTTCCAGTAGGCGGCGACAAGGTAGCCCAGCTGGGCTGCTTTCCCATCCCCCACGCTAGATTGCTCTGGGGGCTGAAGGCAGCCCAGCTGGGCTTCTACCCAGGTCCCCGTGCTAGATAATGCTGGGCTGCCTCCTGCTCGGGGCATGATCTAGCGTGGGGAAGCAGGAAGCAGCCCAGCTGGGCTGACTTCCCACCCCCAGCAAAACATTGAAACAGTGTTGAAACAGCCTTTCTGTTTCAAGAGAACAGAATAGAACAGCTGTTTCAACACTAAATGAAATTCGATACGAAACACTGTTCTGTGGAACCATCGAAACTCAAAGCGAAACGTAACAGTGCTGTTTTGCACAGCCCTACTGCCCATCTCCAGTCTAGTCTCTGTCCTGCGTTTGGGTGCAATGATTGTGGACAGACCAGGAACTCATCCATCCCTGGATGCTCTCTGGCTTGTTTCAAAGCCAGCTTGTAGGAGGCCTTCACAGGGTCCCTTCCTACCTGAGTGTCTGAGGACCTCATGGTGTTTTAACTGCAATAGTTATTAATGAGCTGACAGTGAGCATCCCACTGTTCTCCCAATGCTGGACTCAGAGGTAGAAGTTCCAGTGCAGGAGCGCAGGTCAGTCCAGTAGTGGAACGAAGTAGGGTGACTGGGGCACTTGCCCTGGGCACTGACTTGGTGAGATGCACAAAAGTAGCAGCAGCTGCTCTAGCAAACTGGCTGCTGCTGTGTGCCAGCAGTGCAGCTGTTAGCTGCTGCTCCCCTTATGTCCCTGGGTTGGTCAGAAGCCTGTCTGGCTATGGAGTTGATCTTCTTTGGTGAACTAGAGCTGACATTGGAGCTGTAATTGAATTAGCTCTGTTCAGGAGCAGCTGTTGGCTCTACATGGCTTGTCTCATCTCTGCCATACTCATCCCAGCCATGCCTCATCAATGGAAGTGCCAGGGACTGCCCTTCTGTTCCTCTTCCTTCATTGGACACATGGCACTTTCATGAAAAAGACACCCCCAGTGGAGGTCTGACCCACCGTACCACCTGAACCCACCTGAGGGTGCAATTGTCAGTGGCATCCCAGTGCCTCGCTGCAGGGGAGGCCAACAGGGATCTACAAGCTTTGTCCCTTCAGCATGTACCAAAATCACTTTTCAAGGCTCCAAAGCCCCAGAGCCATGGCCACACTGAGCACTCACAGCAGCACCAGGCAGCACCCCTTGGTATGGCCTTCCTGGATTTGGATGCTGTTACTAGGCACTGCACCAGATAGCTGGTCTGACTGACACTGATAGTCACAGCATGCGGTTAGAAGCTTGGGTGAGGGACCTCCCTTCCCACCCTGTCTTCCTCCTTCCCAGGGGAACCCCAGAGTCCACACTGTCCCTCCCTATTGAACCAAGCTCTGCAGAGCGGAAGCAGGAGTCAAGAACAGAAAGGCACCAACATGTCCCCCATTGCTCCAGGCGAGAGAGCCTGGCCTGCCCTTGCCAGTGCCAGAGGTTCCCTTGCTTCCACCCTTGCTGCTCCTACATCCCCTTACTTCCTCCAGATTGCCAGATCCTCCTCTTGAGCGGCTGCACTCTGCAGACCCAGGCTATTTCTCCTGCCCACACTGCATCTGGCTTATGTTGGGAGGCCTGTGGGGGAGCACACTATTAATCAGTCCCTGTCAAGGCTTGTGTCTGCGGCACAGGCTTCCAGTCTAGCTTGACAGGATGACTGTTTTGCCAGTGCCCCATCATGCCGGCTCCTGGCTGCAGTCCTGCAGAGCCCAGGGAAGTACCAGCAGTCACAGCGGGGAGAAAATCCATCACCAGACAGACCCATGGGGTCTCCTCCCTGCTCCCCTCCCTTCAGGAAGCCCAGCTGGGCCCTTGTAAATCCCTCCCGCTGTGGGAAGTTTCTGGCACAGGGAAGCAGAGCAATCACAGGATTAGTAGCCTGTTGATTTAAATGACTTATTACAGGAGCTTAATTCTATTTTGACAGATGAAAGTAAGTCAATTACAGCTGGAAATAGCTCAAGGTTTGGGTTATTTTCTTCTCCCCTCCTGTGTTTCAAGGGATCACTTTCCTCCCACTCTTTACCTGAAAGCAAGTCACCAGCTAGCTAGTCCTTCAGTGCCTGAACAACCCTCCAATGCAGCTGCCTCACCAAGAGAAAGCAGGAGTGATTTTAAGCCCAGTTGTAGCCACACCTGTGGTAGCTCTGAACAGCAGGACCAGGATATATCTGAACAGGAGGAAAAGGCTCTTTGCTTCGCTCTGGGAAGGCTGCTGCCTGTTCAAGTGGCCATGTGCAGGGTCACACACCTGGGGTGGTTTTTGATTAATTAATCCCTGATTCTGTCCTGATAAAAACTAGCCCCTTTCTGGTACCAGAGGTTGCTCTGGGGGCACCCTTGACACTGAGTTACATCCCAGGGATAGACTAGGGTTATAGACAGCTCCAATCAGATATGAGGGAATGGAAAACCACTAGCTTGGGAAGAAGGGCGAGGTGAGGAAGACTTACAAAGCAGGATCAAGGCAGGGGTGTGAAGTGGGTAGGGGGAAAGGGCAGGTACAAGGGTCTTGCCAGGCAGGGGCTGCAGCTGTGCCAGCTTCAGAGCGTGAATCTTATATCCTCTCTGTCTATGCAGAGTGACCAGGGGTCAGCCAAGCACTTGTGCCATGGACACCCCCATTCTCACCCTCTGCTGCATGAGAAAGCATCACCCTGGCACTAACAGTTTCCCTAGCAGCTCACCTGCTACTCACCTGACCCAGATTACACCCAAGGTGCATGGCCAATTCCCACTTTTCCAGCCCTTAGTGACACAGAAGCCACATCTACATCACTGGGTCAGAGCGCCCACCTCCACTATTGAAGGACTAAGACCTGCCAACCCGCACTGCTCAACCCAGGGAATGAGGCAGTGAGAGTACCCTGGCGATACTCCAAGACACTGCTCTTGAGCATGATGGAAACCTAGGTCTTGAGCTCCCAGACTCCCTTGCTGCCTCACTTCCAGGGTCAACACAAGGAGCAAGCATGGATGAGTGGGGTCAGTAGTGAACCTGAGCTCTCAAGCCACAGCGCAGAAATGTTCAAGTGACATTTGCTCCTCCATTCCTCCCATCCTAGCACAGCTCTCTCTGGCCACGTCTGCCCTATGAAGACTGCTGTTGCCAAGACTAAGACAACCCCCTCATGTCAGACACTCTGACGACAGAAAGAAACCTGTTGCAGCTGGAGTCGCACCATTTTCCCAAAATAATGGATGTTCCACTGGGGGCTTTGCTGACATAATTGTATGGGCTACACATTGTGATCTTTTCATACTGGCAGAACTTGGTCAGGTAGATGACATTTCTGTCATGTCAAAAGGTCACCACCCAGACCCATGCCCACAGGACTGTCCTGAATTTCATAGCCCATGTCTTCCAAGCCCAGCTGGCTGACCTGTTAGAAGTCCTCAGCATTACTGCAACGTGATGATCTTACATCTATGTGTAATGACGGCTTAGTGCATGATAAGACCATCATGTTTTATGGGAGGTCCCTCACGAAAGGGAAATGTAGCTTACATCCTTTGACCCTGTAATACCAGGAAGCTTAAAGGAGGAACCCACAGTGCTATGTCACCAGAGTTCAGGGCTAGACATCCTTCCTGCCATGGGACCAGCAGGAGACTTTATTACAGAAGCATGGCCCCCACATTCAGTGTAAACCCTTTGATTACAGCCAGGCCATCAATATTTCTAGGGGGAGGGACACATACAAAAATAAGACAGAAATAAAACAGGAGAAAGAATCTGCATTGTTCACACGGAAGAAAAGAATTGGATTCAGAGCCCCAAAGTCATTCTGTTCACAGGGAAGATACAACAGAGGCTCCTATCACAGGAGCGCACCCTGACTTAGCCACAGGCAGAAGAAGAGGAAGGTAGTGGCCATCAAACTCTGCGTCTGTCATTTAAGAACAGCAGCAAAGTTGCCTGTCACGGTGATGAGCTTCGCATAAGCCCTAACACATGGGCTGAAACTACTGAAGACATTTCCCTCGGACCACTACCGAATAGCCATCACGTGGTCACAACCTTCCATCCTCACAGATCTGGGTGACTTGAGAGGACCTGTAACTCATCTCCAGTCTGCACATCCAGCCTACTCCCAGAGGGCTGTGACTGTGACCTTGGCACAACATCGAAGGAGTGACAAGCTTAATCACTAGCTAAGTCAACTGAAGAACAGATTAATTACAGGAAAACCATGACTATGCCACACAGCTGGCATGGAAGTTACACAGGTCTGAAATCCAGCCAACAAAGTAATGATGGTCTACAGGACTGGGAAAACTGGGGGCAAGGTTTGCTTTCAGGGCTAGAAACACTTCTGACCATGGGACCAAGGTAGGAGACCCCAGTTTTCAGGTGATAGAAAGCAAAGGACTACCCACTGCAAAGACCTTCTTTGTGGTATGAAGAGTCTTCAGGTCCCCTTCGCCCAAATCACTGCTCTCTTGCTCTACTGGTTCATGAGACACTGGCTACTAGGATGCCCATGAGTATACCCCACAGCAGCAAGCAGACCATAGATAAGACCCAAACACAAGTTCCTAAAGCCCTGCTTCCCGGGGGGTCAGGCGGGGAAGCAATCCCTTTGGCCCATTGAAGGCAGGAGCTCTCACCCTCGGACGGCATGCAGCAGGCGCAGTGAAGGGTAGGCAGTGCGGACGTCAATGCGGTGTTTCAGAATGAGCTCGTTGACCCACTCCACGCGCTCCTTGCCCCCCTTGGCCATGAATGCTGGGATCCAGAGGATGCTGCCATTGAGGCTTTGCAGGCGCTGAAGCAGCTTCTCTCTCCACGTGTCATTCACCAGGTCCTCGAAGGCACGCTGGATGACTGAAGGATTCATGGTCACCAGATCTGTCTTCAGCCCCACATCCTGGGCATACTCCTGGACAGGAGCCAGGTTACACCTGCAAGTGGATATACTAGGTAGAGCTTTATAGTGCTTGTGAAGGAAGGGGAGTGGCAAATGATAGGTGAGCTTGTCAGTGAGTGTGAGGGCTGGTGAAAAGTGCTGGGCTGCCAGTCCTGGCTCTGCTTAGCTACAGGACACCTGCTTCCCACAGCCCTCTGCTGATGTGCTGCAATTGGGACCCCCTCAAAGGTGGCTTAGCCTCTGGGGCTCATTCACTCTTTGACCTCTCTGCAGACTTCTACAAATCAGCACAGGAAGGCAGAGGGGTTGGATGGGCCATGCAGTACGATGGGGTTTTTGATTCCTGGCTCTGCCACTGACTCACTCTGTGACCTTGGGCAAATTACTTGGATAGTGTCCCCTGCCTTCTGATGCCATCCTGGGGCTGCTATGAGGAGTTGTGAACATTTCTCAACTGCAGTATATCAGTGCTGTAAAGAAGGCTCTGACCTAGTGACAATGTCTGTTGACTGATCTACCCAAAATGCCTTTCAACCACTACTGCCACTGATACTGTGAAGACAGACGCTCTGTGCCCATTACCAGTCCCCTAGACACTGACCTATCTGAAACCTACTAGGGAAATGACCTGTACGTGCCTACCCAATGGCTCTTGGGTACCTTCCATTTGTTGTTCATATGCCTTAAAACTCCATTTATGAAGTACACATTCAGCATCTTGCTTTGGTACACACCATCAGCTTCCTGCTCCTCTAAGGCATGGACAGATACACAGTTACATCATTTTTAAAGGTGGGGAGGAGGGTCTTACTGCTTCAGACCCTGCACCAGCTGATCCAGTGTAATAATTTTGTCTATCCACTACTATCCCAAAGTAAATGAACCTCCCCCTGAATGGAACAGGAGGTACATTATGGGGGTTTAGCTTCACTTCCTGTGGATTAGGAGAAAACAGACAGTGCAGCCACAGTGGATTCTGCTGAATCACAGCCAATCCCCTCTTTCAACAGTGCGGCAATGGTTTTATCTGTCCATGTCCTTAGAGCCATGGTCCTCAACTCTT